ATATTCTAGGATATATTGCTGTGTAGAATAGATGGGAAATCCATTGTACTGTAAAAATCCCTAGCCAATAAATTTAAGAGACATCATTTTCATACTCTTTTGCCTGTTGCGTTAGAGTGACCATTCTGTATTATCATTGGGCTTTTTGCATTGCTGCCTGCATAAAGTCTGATACCAGTCACTGACTTGCACATTTCTCTAAAGGCCTATAGTTGAAGCTTTTGCTCATACCATTGTTCTTATCAAATACATTACTCTTTTCCAAATTCATTAATAACTTTTCATTCTTAACATTGCTTTGGAATTCTACCATTCTCTTTCAAATGTCATGGAAGCACTCAATTTGACATTACACTGGAGTGTTTACCTAAAAGCATTATTAAGGTTTTTTTTATGTCTGGTATTACTCTACTGTGGAAAGGATACAAGTGTAATATATCCCTTTACTATTAGGAAAGTTTGTCAGATAAATTTCTTAAAGCTTTCTAAACTGGAAAAGAAAACTGCTTTATTCTCTTTGAAAACTGAGAAAAGGAATGACTTACTGATTCTGGTACCCATGACCAGAGCAAAGTATAACAGGCAAAAACCTGTTTTATCATGTGAGAGGGACCCTTCATTGACTTCTGAACTTGAGGCAGTTTTTTGTTTGAGGTACTGTTAAAAGTCTACCACATTCTCATATAAAGAACAATATGTGCGTGTCCAAAATCAGATGGCCTATTTTACTAAATGTGCCTTTACACTGTAAATCTGCATTATTTATTGCTACTTTTCCATGGCCTGTGTAATGGTGTGTGTGTGTGTCTGTGTGTGTGTATCCTTTTGTGATCTCAGTTCCTAGGGTGAGAGGAGTTAAAATTGGAAAAGACCTTTAATCCATCCCTCTTGTTTTTGCAGGTGACAAAACTGAAAACATTTTAAATTTGTCCATCATCCACTTTGTCAGTATGCCAGTTGGTGATAAACCCAGCTTCCCACCAAAGATTAGGCTCCTTTCTCAGTTGCCTCCACCAGCATTCTTTATTTCTCAAGATGAGGTGAATAACATTACAGACTTACACCATTTTTTACTTTCCATATTGAGGTAGAATTCTAAAGACCATTATAGCAAAATGGTATGTATCTGTGAACTGGTTTTAGAATTTTTTTTTCTTTTCTAAGGCGTGAGACTTGGAAATTTGTAAAAAGTTCACAGTATCTAGAGAATTAGTCTTACATTAATTTTTAAAAATAATGAAAATTTCAAATCTTAACCATCAGTCAACAAGAAATTTAGAATTGGAAGAAAACTGTCAAGCTAATATTATAAGTGATTTTTAAGATTCATTGTTTCTAATCTTTTATTGTTGTTTTGTTTGGTTTTGTTTTTGGGAAAGGGTCTCACTATGTAGTTCGGGCTGGCCTTGAACTATGTAGCCGAGGCTGGCCTCAAATTCATGGTGATCCTCCCTCCTGCTTCAGCCTCCTGAGAGCTGGGATTACAGGTATGCACCACCATGCCTGGCTTCCGTTTCTAATCTTCCAGGCCCAATATTCATGCAGCATTCTAAGTTCCTATGTACATGATATATTTTTTTTAATTGCATTATTCAGGTTTATTCCAACATTTCCAGAATGTTTGCATTTGTTTAGTGAATAAGGGATCTTTAGAAACCCATGTATTGGCTCTACTAGCTAGTCCTGTGTCTGGATACAGCCCTCCTAGCTAGACTGATAACTATAAGTTTAATGAGAAAACTCAAGTTTTACACATCTCCTCATACCTGAGGGTGTAAACTAAAAGCCCAAAAAAGCTTTCAAAGCTCTACATTAATACACGCACTTAAGTGTGAGTTTAGTCCAATTGAATAGCTTTGAGATGAGAACCAAGAGTGTGTGTTAGTTGAGTCCAAGAGTTTATCTGAAACAGTAGTTCTTCCTTGAATAATTCTCACCAGCACTTTGAGAAGGAACTGAATTTCCAGTAGAGACTATATTTGTACAATTGCTCAAGTGGTTTATAGCTACTCTAAGAGTTATAAAAATTAAAGCTGTTCCCTACCATGAAAAAGGATTGATAGGCCCCCTGAATGAAATGATAAATCACCAGTAGTTTAATTGAGGGCTCCTATCCATTGGAAATGGAAATACCACACCTTTTTTTCTTTTTCTTTTTGCTGTACTGTGGATTGAACACAGGTTCTTCTCACTCAGCTACATTCTAGCCCTTTTTTATTTTGAGACAGTGTCTTCCTGAGTTACTAAACTGCCCAGGAGGAGCTCAAACCTGCAATCCTCCAGCCTCATTCTCTTAGAAGTACTGGGATTACAGGCATGTGCTACTGTTTCTGGATACCACATACTTTGAAAAGAGTGATTGTGATCCAGTTAGGGAGGGCCTGAGGATGAAAATCCCATTCCTGTTTTGAGTGTGTCTTTGCAACCTTACTTACTTATATTAGCTTGTGATAGTGTTCCTTTATTACAAATCTTGTCTTTTTCTGGATAAAACATTGTAAAGAAGTCGTGTGTCCTAAATTTTTAAAAAAGTCAATAGTCTCAGTGTGTTGTGAATAGAAACAAGAAATGTGATCAGTCTATGCCTTCCTTAGATTGCTTTTAATCACATGATAGAGTAAAACTACACATGGATGAGAACATAACGTACAGAATGTACCTTGGAATAGTCTTCATGGTTGAGTGTATTCCATCTACAAAGGAGGCAGTGGGATGATAAAGGTGTATTTTAATTCTGGTTAAAATTTTCTCTGGAAAAATATTTGTTTAATGTCCATTCTTGTTTTAGTACTGTCTCTGAATGAATTCTTTTTACTGTTACTGAAAATACATATTTTACTTTCACTTGCCATCACCAAAAGCATATATAACTTTCTTCTGTTACATTTGATATTTTCCTTGAATTTTTAGTTTAAAAGAGCACATACTGTAAGAATACCTGATATAAGTGAATTATCACAAATGATAACCAGATTTATTTGATAAGTTTTAAAGTTCTTTTTAACTATTTGGAAATGTAGGGTTAAATTTAAACAAAAATAGTAATTTAATGAAAAGTTTCTGGAATTTGAAAAAATTTGTCAGTGGGTATCTCAACATCATAATTGAAGTATAGCTTTAGGTCATGGTTTTAAAATGTTGTATATGCTGGTATTGAGGGTTTTTTGTTGTCTTTGTTTTGTTTTTAATTGTACAAGTAATCCTGAATCCATGTTCACAGGAAGGGGAAAAAGGCCTTCAACCACTATTGAAATGCTTAAAACATGTAAAGAATACGAGTTGAAAGTAATCTTACAAAATTCCTGCTCTTCAGAACTGCCACTCGCAGTTTAGTGCACACATACCTTACAATCATTTGTTTCAGTTCTTTGATTTTTTTAAAAAATATAAATGGGTTTTTGTTTTACAGTGTGTCATACACTTTTCTTTCCTTTGTAATGCTGTGATTTCTTTTAATGGTCTTCCTAATGATGTATGCTTGTTTCCAGTTTTTTAACATGATAAAACTCTACAGTAAATACCTTTGAACTTTATCATTGTGAACTAGTCAATAATGAGGCTTTCTTACTGACTAGTAGTTTTTTTGTATTTTGGGTATTACTATGATTATTTTTCCCTATGTACTGATCCTGGAGGCTTTATGGGTGTTGTAAATAATGAGGTAGGGCTGGGGATTTAGCTCAGTGGCACAGCGCCTGCCTGGCAAGTGCAAGGTCATGAGTTCGATTCCTGGTTACAGGTAAATAATGAGGTAGTCAAGTCTGTATGACATCTTTGTTTGATGGATTCTAATATTTCAAATGATACTCACTTCCCACAGATGTTTTCATTTCCCTTTTTAACTGTCACTTGTAAAAATTTGTTTTTATAGAATCCTATGAATGCGATACTAAGATGTATATAATACATAAGAATCAGTTAATAACTTTGATTATCAATTTCTGTTATAAAATAAACGTAATATATTATGGAAAAGTGTTGGGATTTTGTGTTATTTGTGGAATGACTATAGGTAATCCCTCATAACAAATTTATTTTGTAGGTAGTACACTAGCCCCTGCATAACAGTGGCACCCTAGAAATATCCCCTTCTTTCTTGAATCTTTCAGAGAGGATTGCTTCCCCAGATAGAAATTTCTCTAACCTTCATGTAACTAGAAATTGCTGCCATGTAGTGTCAGATGACCCAGCAGATGGACTATGCTCTTAACAAGACAAGAACCAAAAAGTAACAAAGATCAATCTTGAAGGGGCTGCGGATTTAGCTCAGCGGCACAGCGCCAGGCCTGGCAAGCGCGAGGTCGTGAGTTTGATTTCCGGTACCGGAAGAAAACAAACAAACAAAAAAGAAAAACAATCTTGACTTTTTTACAGTTAAACATTTTAAAAGTATTTGATTTGTCTGTAGTGTAATGTAGCACACTGTTGCATGGAATGAGGAGAGTGACACCATAACTTTTTCAGTATTTGGGGGCTCTGTGGTCATTTATTTCACCTTTCTGTGTTGATTTCCTGCAACTTGGGCTCTTAGAACTTCGGTTGATTTTGTCCTACTCATTGGTAATCTCTTGTAGAATTAGCTTATGAGTTTTCTGCTGCTTTCCTCTCATAGGAGCAAAAGAACCTTTATTAGAGGCATACCATGAAACCGGTATTTCATAGATACAGGTCATTAGCTTTCTTCTGCTTTGTTAAGGAGAGATTTGTGGGAGAGAGGGATCGTTTCTTGTTTCCTAGATGGAGTAATAATTCCATTCAGAAGAAACAACCAGGAGAAAGGAAAGATTTTTTTCTTTTTTGAAGGGACAAGAGCTTTTACAGCTTAGCAAATTTGGACAAGTTTGCTAATAATTCAGCTGTATTATATTTTAACAAGATATCTAACTGCATTTGATAACCTGAGCACCACATATACTTACTTCTATCTTGAAATTTGCCTTTAACGTCACAAAAAGTACAAAGCACTGTAGTGCTTGTAACACTCTTCCATATTATTGTAGGTAACTAAATGACCATGGAATCTGGAGCAGAGAACCAGCAGAGTGGAGATGCAGCTGTAACAGAAGCTGAAAATCAACAAATGACAGTTCAAGCCCAGCCACAGATTGCCACATTAGCCCAGGTATAAAATACATGGAGAGATTGCAAGCTGTGTCTCTTCCAAGAGGAATGTTTCCAAAAGAACTTAGTTTTTATTCCAGAGATATACATAGTGAGCAGAGATATTCTTAGAATATCACAATGGCTACTTAGTATTAGCCTGTGTTTAGAAATGATAGTGTTGGGGCTGGGGATTTAGCTCAGCGGCACAGCGCCTGCCTGGCAAGCGCGAGGTCGTGAGTTTGATTCCTGGTACCTGAAAAAAAAAAAAACAAAAACAAAAGAAATGATAGTGTTAATTCTGTAACATAATAGTAAAATGTATCATTAAACACTAATACAGTATATTTGTAGTGACACGATCCAGAAATAATTACATTTTTAGCTGATATATAAATTAATTGGATCTCAAAGGAAGAAAGCCTTGGTTCTAACAGCTGCTTTTTTTCTGTATGTAACACAATGGAAATCAGATAATACAAAAGCTAAAATTTATATAGGATTAAACTTTTAAAAATAGGATAAACAAGTCATGCAAGTAAATTTTAAGGATGATAGTTTTTGTTTCCTATATATTTTAAATATAATTCCTGATTCATTTTGTCTTTGTTTTAAAAATTCTGTGATGAAGAGTATATTCACTTATATTTACTTTTTGTTCTCATGTATTTTTCCTAAAATATTTTATTAACAACTCTTTACATGGTGAGAAAGATGGTTAATGTAAAACCAAATAAGAGAATAAACCTGCTAGGTAAAAGTGTGACAATGCCTGTTTAAGAAGAAGGTTCCAAGGAGAAAGTAATTCTGGCAGAAGCTCTGGTATGTCTTAACTTCAGTTTTCCTCAAGAATTTAAAAGCTCCTACAGAAACCACTAAGCAACAGTGAGTCTTGGAAAATAGCAAGCTCATCATAGTTAGTGTGGGTGGAGGTGTTTAACTGAGCGAAAATGCAGGCCAGATGCTGGACTCCAGCAGCAGTTTGGTCAGGAGGAATGGCTGTTCTGCGTTCTCTCCTAGAATTACCAAGGCTCACCTCCAGCACTCAGGAGTAATACATAGCTGATTACTTAAAGTGGATACTCAGATGAGGCAGGGGCTTGATCAGTAGAAGGATAGGAGTAAGCAAGCACAGCTGACTCTGGCCTCATCCAAGTATCCTGTCTGGGAAAAATGCCAGCAGACATGATGATGACAGTCCTCAATATAACTGTCCCTTTGGTCACACTGTATTCTGCCTGATAGTCCTGATTTGCTGCATAGTATCATCCTAGGCATTCTCACTCTACTTGTTTTTGTGGAGTTCTTCGTACTGATGTAGTAGAGCATGTATTTAATGGTGCCTTGAGAAAAAAAAAAGGATAAAGAATTCTTGGTTAAGATTTTTTTTCTTTTTTTGGATTTTGAAAGCATTGATCTTTAGTTAGCTTAGTCTAGCACTGTTGAGAAAGGTAATTCTTATTTTGTATCTCTGGTATCTTATAAAATTTCTTTGGTCACAGTACTTCAAAATTCATTATCATAAATTGGATCAATTTTTAACCCTTGTATTCAGAGGTTCTTTTTATAATAGAAGTGCATGTCTTTACTTGGAGGACCTTTATTTAAATTACTTGGTTGATGGTTTTTTCCTGTGTTCTTATTTCTCTGCAGGATCCTGTGGTCTAGACATTATATCCACAGGACAGTTTTTCTCATTTTCTCTTCTGTGTTCTATCTTTCTGCTCTGCTTTCTGGGAGATTTCATCAACACATTCCAACCCATCTATTGAACTTCTTATTTTTATTTTCTCTTATCTCTGAGAATATTTTTTGTTATTTCAAATTCATTTCTCCATATAGCAATTAGGTTTTTCTCCATATAGCTCCTCACTGCCATTTGTTTTGCTTTCCATTTTTCACTTTAGAGGCTTTCCCCATATGTTTGATACTTTGTGATTGACTTCCCAGGGTTAAAAGTAGAGGGGGAACAAGAAAGTAGAGGTGTAGCTTAGTGATCGAGCACATGCTTAGCTATGTGACACCTAGGTTCGATCCCTAGCACCACATACAGGTAAGTAAAAGGGGACTAAAAAGCGTTCCTCAAAACTTTGTGGGTGTGTCTGGGGCTAATAGCTGTGAGATGTAAGCTCCACTGTAGATGGTTGTAGTTGTCCTAGTAACAGTATTTTTCAGTCTTGGTACTGAAGTCTCAGGTTCCACAGAAACTTCACTAATCCCCTGGTTATAGGGAAAAGTGCTGAGAGCCAAGTGAGAAAAGAATGCTAGGGTTTAGTAGCTGCCTTAAGCAATACCTGGTGTTAGGCATCAAGAAATCCTTCATCTAGAGAGTAAATACCCATGTTTCAGTCAAAATGTGGTAGGTTTATTTGTTCTTCCATGGAGAGTTAGGAAGAGGATCTCTAATTGTTTTTCACAAAATAGTCAACCAGCCTTCCTTACCCGCTTCTTTTTTCACTCTACCTTGTATGGTGCTATATCCCAGCCTCTTGATTTTTGTGCTGTAGATCAAACTGTCACTTCATGAGCTGGCCATCTGAAATCTTCCCATTTTATTGCTGCACTCCAGCCTCTTAAACTCTTTATTACTATACCTCTTTTCCCCATTCTAATATTTGTGTGAGTATGACTATAAAAAGTTAAGTTAATGAAGTATAATTGGGGATTCAGGGGAGAAAATTATATGCACATGTTCAAATGACTGTTATCGGACAGCCATCACGGAAGAGTTACAAGTGGAGTAACATGATTAAATTTGTGTTTTAGGAAAGCTAGTATCTGTTTCCACTTATATATATTCAGTACTTTTTGGGGGAAATGTGTTTGGTTTTAAGGTAAGAGGATGAACATTGTAGATTTCTTGTCGTAAGCAAGTTTCTAAGTAATAAGGTTTATAAAGGAAACTATTAATAGTATGGAAAATACTGTGTATTGTAAAACAACATATTTACAAACAAAGAATGTATTGTAAAACTGAATGTTCTCATGTGCCTTAAAAAACAATTGAGGAGATCTACAGCAAAAAAAAAACTAATGATAAGCTTTTGAGTAGAAAGAATGTGAGGCATTTTTACTTTGTACTTTATGCATCTGTTTTATGAACTTAAAATGAGAGGAGCTGTTATGAAAAATGATCAGGGTAGAGGAGGGATTGAGTTAGCTTGTTAAATTTATCCTAGAGGACTCAGGAAAGAACAGTAACAGTTGCTTCAAATATCAACAAGATCTTTTTTATGGAATTAAGACACGATAATGCTCTAAATAGTCTTAAGGTTTGCTGCTCAAACTTTAGTGAAGAAGAAAGTATCGTTGGGTCCCTTTTAGACTGATTTTGCAAACAGTGCGACTCTAATATGGGTAATGCATATGTGACATTTTTAGAACCAGGTAAAACTTTTAAGAAAAACTTACAGTGGTCGAAAGAAGGTAGTAAGGATAGCTTTCCCTCCTTTCTAAAGAAGCTCTGTGTTTTAACCAGTGTGCAAAAGCCTGTCTGTGATAGCAGTCTTTTCCCAAAGCTTCAGAATCAAATGTTTGTCTGCTAAACACCTCTGCAAATTTAAATGTCAGCTCAATTCCATTTTCCATCACAGTCCCAACCACACAAGACTTTGTCCTTACATTTTCTGTTTCATTTGCTGATACTCACTTACCAGTTCTCTCATGTAAACCATATGTCACCTTTTATTCCTCTTACCTCGTTCAGCCAATCATTCATAAAGCCATGTTTGGTCTGGCTCCAGATTTCTATAAAGTCACTTGATTCCCATCCCGATCACTACTGATGCCTTGTTTCTGGCCTCCATTATCTCACCTTAACTACTGTATAGGCTTCCTATTTGCTCTCTCCACCTCTAGTGTTTTTCTACCCCTGTGATTTGTATCTTTTCTGCTGCCACTGAAGTGATTGATCTAAGTATACCTCACTGTAACATTCAGGAGTTCAAAGATCCTTCAGTGTCTTCCCCATACTCTACAGGATAAAATCCATGTTCCTCCCTGTGACACACACACGTGGGTGATCATGACTGGCTTGATTACCTCTGTCATGGTCTCTCCTACTCCATGCTAACTCCTGTGCTCCAGTAGGTCTGAACTCGGTCCGTCCTTCTCTGTCGTGTAGACAATACTGCCTCTTCTGCCTGAAGTTTTGTGCCTTCCCATCTCCAAATCACAGTAGCATCATGTCTAACTGGTATTCTCTGTTTCGAACTCACATTCTTACCTAGTAGCGTTGCCTCTTAGGTTAGGTTGAGTAGCTTTGCTGAACACAGTATGTCCATTTTTTTCTTAGCAAAACTCATTACTCACTGAATTGCATTTACTAGAATGTCTTCTCCATTCTTTCACACACACACACACCAGTAATTTCTTCGAGGTCGGAACTTGCACCTGTCTCATTTTTGTAGTTTCAGTTAAAGCATTATTTCTGGCACGTAAGTCCTAATAGTTTTTTACCAAGTGAGCCAATAAAGTTCCTACTCTGAATATGATGGAACATGAAAATAATAAATACTGTTGATAGACATGTGCAACTGAAGGGTCTTTTTAACTCAGATACTGACTCATTAAAATTGCCACCTTTGTTCCCCAGGAGAAAATTGGTTTCTTTTATATTCTTTCAACCTTGTTCCTTTATTCAGAATCAAAACACATTCTTAAAACATCAACTATGAGTTTAGTGATTTTCAAGGGTAGGAGGAAATTGAATTTTTCATTTATAATACCTGTTAATACTTTCTAATTAATTAAAAAGTTACCCTTGTAATTAGTTTAAAAGAGAAAACTAGTTGCTTATTATTAAGGTGTGTATTTGTTAAAGACTTAGCGTAGGTCAGTTTTGCCCAAGTTTGAGAACAATTAAGATTTTAGAACATGGCTTATTTAATATATTTTGAAGGCTTTTATGTTTCTTCAAGGCTTTCACGTTTCTTCAAGGTTAGCACATTTGTTGACCTTGGGTAAATTAATCTCTTTAAGCAGTTGTTATTTTTGTCTTAGATCCCATTCCTTAGCCTTTGGTTTCTTCAGAGCAAAACAAGAAATCAGTTATGAAAGCAGACAGGAAAATGTAAAAGCACCTTACCTATAGAATGGTATTTAGTGTTCAGAAAAAGTCTGTGTTGCATATTTTGATACTACATTAAAGTAACTTTTTATTGGTTATTTGGGAGTGATTGAAAATAGGGAGGGGGACCTGTAGAGATTTTATTTTTAAGAATATTAGAATTTAATCATTGGTTGCTTTCACTTCAGTGAAATACTAATGTAGCAGAAAGGTTATGTTTTTGCTTCTAAAAAGTTACTTTATATTGAACTTGAGTAATTCCAAGGAGGTAGCTGTAATGGTAATTTTTTTCCATGTTCAACATCTTAGGTATCTATGCCAGCAGCTCATGCAACATCATCTGCTCCCACCGTAACTTTAGTACAGCTGCCCAATGGGCAGACAGTTCAAGTCCATGGAGTTATCCAGGCGGCCCAGCCATCAGTTATTCAGTCTCCACAAGTTCAGACAGTTCAGGTATGTGTATAAAAACTTATGCATGTCCTTCTGTAACTATTGTTTATAGCCATTTCTGTCTCCTTTCATTAGTAACAAAACTAAGGACACATCTAATTCATAGTTTTATGTCGTAGTAAAGCAATACGTTGCATCTGTATAGTCATCTTACGTATGGGAACATACGCAAGAACAGACATGAAGAAAATGACTTTTTCTTAAGCTGCAGAAAAATAAGAATTGATTAGCGAAAATAGTTAATTACATGGGATAGAGTAAAAATGTTTGGGAGAGACTATGTAAAGCTGATGAGCCTCAGTTAAGGAAAATTAGAATGCATAGATAACTTTGTAATATTATTCTAAACCTGCATTTAGGTGAGGAAAAAGCCCTGATAAAAAAAATTAATAACCTTACCTTAGGCATTGCTTGGATTTAGAGATCACATAAAATATTTGTAGTACTGATTTTGTTCAAGGCTTTTGGTTAGAGTATACAACTTGGAAATAACAGTGTATTCAGAGGGTACATTAATCATACCACACATTGATCATATTCTTTGGAGAGTTTGTTTCTTTGGTTTGGATCCAAAGGGAATAAAGGCACTCTGAACCTCTGAAGGTGACTATTTAATTATAGGGAACCAAGAGCAGTGGAGATCTTTGCAATTGAACTTATTGAAGGAAAAAAAAAGACTGAACGTTCATTCAAGTAGGCTATAACCCCAGCCTCCCATTTCATATTTTTTGCTTCACAGTCTTCCTGTAAGGACTTAAAAAGACTTTTCTTCAGAACACAGGTGAGTCCCAGGTCCTAGATTTGAAAAGAACTATTATTAGAAAGGAAGATGAGAAATTCTTTATGTCTTTGTCCCTCTCTTTAAGTGTGGAATTTCAAGGTTTAAGTAAAATCCTTAGACTAGATCTTCTACTTCTAGGCCAAACTTGTTACCTACTCAACCCTTAATATATTGTTTAATCCCTCTTTATAGCATTTCTGCCCCTCCACAGAGTAGTGTAGCATTACTTGAACACATGGAAAGAAAAGAAGCTCTGTCTCCTGAGGTCATCACTTACAGTTAGGGATGATTTCTAAACTATTCTTCATGGTTTTGAGCCAGAATTTATTTTTGTAAGAATTTCACATGGTATTGCCAGTTCTGTCCTCAGAAACTAGATTAGCAAATATGATTCCTTATCTGTCAGACTGCTTCCTTTTCTCCTACTGCTATACCGTATTTATAAGAAAATTTTAGACTCAACAAACTCACATTTTTCTTCAGCCTTTTTCTATATTGTGTGTCTTTGATTTCACTTCACCATCCTGGTTGTTTTCTTCTAAGTGAAAGCTTTTATATATGATATACGGAACTGATTGGTATTTGCAGAGGGAAGATGTATTCCCTTTGTCTTGGAAGTGTTTATTAAAGACACACTAGATTTTTTTTTGCCATGTTATATTGAGTCACTGATCTGCTATTATCTCCTACTTGGTTCTATCTTATGCTTTTGGTTTACTTTAACTTGTACATGTGGTTAGTGGCAATGTTTTTGTGTGAAGTCATCAAATTGTATGAATTTCCATAAAATGCTTAGAATGGATTCTGTTAACATGTAAGATATAGTGTTACAAAATAAAGAGCTAAGTATTTGCTATTTCGGTGAAATCACAATGATAAATTGTTCTTTGCCTTAGTTTTTCTTTCATTGAATACTACCTTACTATTCTCCACACGGCATCCCATTACTAGTCCCCACCTATATCCTCTTGATCAAAGTGGAAGGAACTTGACCCACTCACTAGTCATGAGATCTAGATTCCAGACTCACTTTGGATATTACTAGGTCAAATAACCTGGACATGTCAGCCTTTCTTTTTTTTTTTTCCACGTACAAAAGATCTCTCTAAACCAAGACAGAAATTACTAAAATGAACAGCCACAACATTTGTAAAGACAGTAGTTTTTACATATGTGATATTGTTGATTGTATCCTTAATTGTAATCTCTATTTTGGGACAGTGTAATTTGAACCTGGGAATTATATGGCCTTTTTTTAATAGAAGTATGTATTTCATCTTTTCAAGAGTATATTTGGCATTAAGGTGAGCTATGCTTATAATTTAAAATGTGTGTATTTGCTAAGGAAAAGTCAGATCTCAAAGCCAAAAGTCTACAAGTTGAGACACAAGTGTACTTTTCTTTAAAGGACCTCAACTATGGAAAATCTGTTAGACTTTAATAGTCACTTGGGCTGACTAGCAGTGATTAATACTTCTAACTAGTAAATAGTTTACATCAGAAAAGATAATCACACGGAGAGGAACTCTCTCAGACGTCTAGATGGGAGAATATGAGTATTAGTATGACATAAGTTTCCAAAATGTGCAAGTAAATTTTCTTGATGGGAGAGTAAGATACTGGGATTCTATTCACGTATTTTAATCTAAGAATACTACAAACTGAGCTGTACTGATAAATTTCATATACAGCTTGATTTTTGGTACACTAACTCTATTCTTAGTTAAATAGATAAGTCACATCTCACAGATTATGTGAGATTCCTCACCGAAATAATGAGAGTTAATACAGTGTATAGGCTTGACATTGGCATCGTTGCTTTCATTAGTTTTGGCCACATTTCGGTGTAGTGCAGTTTAAATGTGCCAGGCACAGAGGATTTATAAATTATGTTACTTCGTTACGTGTTTCTTTAACAAATGTTTATTGATCACATGCTATGTGCCAGTCATTGTTCTAGGTGCTATCACAGACAGGAGCGAACAAAATACATCTCTATTTTCATGAAGATCACATTTGAGTGAAGAGAGACAGACTATGAAATAAATATGTCAGGTGAGGATAAGTGCTGGAGAGGTCAATAAAACAGGGAAAAGGGATATAGAAAGATGATACGGGAAGGAAGTTCTATTTTGTGAAAGGTGGTGGGGGAACACTGAGCAGAGACCAGAAGATAGTAAAGGTGACTGAAACCGGGCTGATAATAAAAGCAAATTCAAAGATTTGGAAATGAGAATATGGTTGGGATTTCAAGAAATAGCAAGTTCTTACTAGAGTAAAGGAGGACAGTGATTGGAGATGAAGCTTTTGTTACAGTTTTTTTAATACTTTGTAATGTGGGGTCACCACTAAAAATTTGTACAACATAGAGGTTTTATGCTTATTATATTAAGATAGTATTTAAGAATTGTCTAACTTAAGATGGATAGTATTCTTTTTTAAGAGCAGGAAATTTTTATTGGGGGAAAGAAAGGTATAGTTAATGGGGGAGAGAAAGCTTTTGTCTAAGAGAGACGGGTCCCAAGGGGGGTTGCCCGTTATTTTTTTGTTTCTTTTAAAGACAGTGGTTCCAAAGTTTCTGATCTTCATAATAATAATAAACAAGGATTTAACAGGATATTTTATATGACAGATATATTTGAAAAAAGAAATCCAATTGATATCTTTTCTAGGGGGAAGAGATATTAGCTGCTTTTTGAAAGAAACTTGTGCAGTGGAGAGCGTTTTGAAAATAGGAATTGAGAAGTTGTCCATATTCTTTCCACTGCAAGCAATGTATGTTGTCTCTAAAGACTCAAGTCTGTATACTATTAAAACCTTAGAAATAATATGTCCTAACCTGTTAAGAAGCCTTGTAGAGTTTTAGTAGACACTGAACTTACTTGTTAAAAATAGAAATTGTGCCGGGTGTGGTGGTGCATGCCTGTAATCCCAGTACTCAGGAGGCTGAGGCAGGAGGATCATTGTGAGTTCGAGGCAGCCTAGGCTACAAAGTGAGCTCAGTGCTAGCCTGAACTGCCTAGTGAGACCCTGTCTCAAAAAGCCCCCCAAATATATATATATAAAATTGTAGCTAGGGTTGGTGGCACCTCCTTGTAATCTCAGCTGCTCTGGAGACTAACAGAGAAGGGTTGCAGGATTGAGGCTAGCCTTGACTACTTAGTGGGACACTGTCTTAGAAGTGAATTTTTAAAAAAAGCAGCTGACATATACTTTAGTGGTAGATACCTTGTCCTATTTTATAATCACAATTTAAATACAATACATTCACTTTTGAGATCTGTATATTCGGAGTTGTGAGTTACCTGTTTCAAAACTAGCAGATATTAAGTCACATTTCCAAAAACCTAAGCTTAGATTTTTTTCTAAATCAGTGTTATGTTAATGACCTTTTAGTAGGGTATATTTAATCACATCATTTCACTATAGTGAAAATTAAATGGTTTATTTTTAAGAAAACTAAAATTTTAATATTTACACTTGTTTAAGAACTTATCTTTTTAAAGAGAATAAAAAAAACAAAATAACAACAACATAGACAAAAGAACAAAGGAAAAACAAAAATGATACAGGGTTTCAAAACAGAATGATAGGAACTAACAGTGGTTGTTATATTACATATTGTTATCTTCAGTGAAGCGGCTCCAATTACCACATGTAAGAATGTAAGATTGACCAAACCATTAAAGAGAATTAAAAATAATTTTAAAACATTAGAAACGCTACAGAGCCTCCGTAGACAAGATGGTGGGAATTCACCAATGGTTGTTATATTGCATATTGTTGTCTTCAAATTAAGGTGTTCAGATTATCAGATATAAGCATGCAAAATTGGTCAAAAAAAAATTAAGCATTAACTGTTCCTTTCAATAAACCATTAGACATCAGTAAAGAACTCTTATTGTATAATTTGAACTCTTATTAAGAGTTAAATAACTTGTTAAAAATATGAAATTGTGCCGGGTATGGTGGTACACGCCTGTAATCCCAGCACTCGGGAGGCTGAGGCACAAAGATCACTGTGAGTTCGAGGCAGCCTAGGCTACAAAGTGTGCTCAGTGCTAGCCTGAACTGCATAGTGAGACCCTGTCATTTAAGGTAAGTTATTTAACTCTTATTAAGAACTCTTACTAAAAATTTGCAAGTAAGAAATACATGGCTTGGCCAGTGTGGTGGTAATCACAGCACTCTAAGGGGCTGATGAGGCAGGAGGATCAAAAGTTCAAGCCTCGTTTGAACAATTTAGAGAGACCTTGCCTCAAAATAAAAAAGATTGGGAATGTAGCTCAGTACAGAGACCCTGGATTCATTCCCTAGGACTACAAATGGGGTGAATGTGTAAAAGTTTTCTTCTTTGTTACGGGAGATATACAGATCAAAAGAGTTTGAAGATCAAGGGTTTAAGATCAAGGGTTCAGGATCTCTTAAGTGTATTGATCCAGTGAATTTAAATTTAAAAAAAAAAACAAAAATGAAACCAGGGATAGTACCTAAGTTTTCAGTGGATTATGTATAATTCTCCCCACAAAATCTAATGTTTTATCATTGCTTTATTTTGAAATTTAAAAGAAGGAGTTTTCAGCCAGGCATGATGGCCCACACTTGTAATCCCAGCACTAAGGAGGCTGAGGCAGGAGGATTACTGTAAGTTTGAGGCCAGCCTGGGCTACAGAGTTGAGTTCAAGGCCAGCCTGAACTGCATAGTGAAATCCTTTCTGAAAAAGAAAAAAAAAAAGTAAATTAAGAAATAAAAGCAAAGAGTTTTCCCCATCATATAAACAGGAGATACGGTTTGTAAACAAACCAAAGTTCAAAAATGCAGGTTTAAAACTTTCTTACAAGTAGTGGTTTAGCTTTTTGAAAATTTCCGCAGTGTCACAGTGGCCAAAATTAAAGACCTACTTGTGGAATTCAGGAAGAAGTTAATAAGAGAATGGGAGGGATTCTATTTAGAGTGTGATAATTTGTCGTATTTATAATTGGGATATAATGTTTTCACATGGTTGTTTTTAATCTGCTAAATATATTGAACTATAATTATTATTTTTTTTAAACTTCTATTACTTTATTAATAACACCTT